GACAGAACTCAGCAGTTTTGTCGATGCTGGTAAACCTCATTTTACGAGGCATAACGACTTTTGTCGACAGAGTTCTGTCGACAGAAGGTGTTATTGCATGTAGGGTTGTGTCTAGACTACAGGGTTTTGTCGACAAAGCAGCTTGCTTTGTCGACAGAACTGAATGTGTCTAGACGCTCTTTGTCGACAGAAGCCTGTAGTCTAGACGTACCCAGAGGCATGTTCTCTGAGCGAACTCACTCTGCTGCTCTCTAGCTCCGCACGTCGGCTGGCCGAGCTAGGATGGGAAATCACAAGAACTGGTGGGAGAGGATGATCCGCCGCCTGGCGTGCTCCAAGTCAGGGCTGAGCCCAGTGCTCCGGTTGGGTGGGCAGCAGGGAACACTGCCCTATGTGGCACCTTTCGGCAGATCAGCCGAGGTCCGGAGCACAGATGGTTGCGGAAGATCAAATGGCACTTTTCCCTGGGAGGGAGGCGTTCTGTCTCTGTCGTTATTTAGGCTGGTACGAACAGTTTGCCCGGAGGCTGGATTCTTCGCCCCGTCCTCTCCTAAGCAGTTTGTAGCACTCCTGAGAGATGTTAAACCCGCCGATGAGACCCGCCTTAGAGGTGTCTGAGTCGGGTGGGAGAAGCGATCCCCAGAGAAATGCAGTTTGAGTTCCTTGAGGATGGAGGATGCTACCGTAATTGCTGTTCACCAGGGCCTTATTGTAATTTGGTGAAACTCATGAATAACTATCACCTGTGGCAGCCTTTGAGGGCATCAGGTGAGTGAGTACTGTCCTCGTTTCATGAGATGGGGAAACTGAGGCAGGGAGCAACTTGGCAACAGTGATGCAGTGTGACTGCGCCGAGCCAGGAACTGAGCCCAGAAGTCTTAAACACAAGCACTGACAAAGAGGGCAGGCAGCAGGAAGCTCCTCTGGGATGCAGGGCAGAAGCGGGGTCCCCTGCGGAGACAACGGGTTCCCAGACATAAAATCACGCAGGTGCAAAGAGCCCAGTGCGATCAGATCGTGGCCCTTGCTCCAGGCGGCAGACAGCAACACCACAGGGACGGGGTGAGGAGCGTGGACAAAACAAGGGGTCTTAACCTCAGTGGGACCCCTCCAATGCAGGGCACCTCACAAGCTTCCACCCTGGGCTGCCCTGCTCCATCTATGCCCAGCTAGGGCTCCCTGCAACACCACTGGCCGGAGGGCATCGGGGACCTGCTGGCCACAGGCAAAACAATCCCCCGGCAGAGATGCTTCTGTTTCCGATTCCGGCTGAAGGAATCTGGCTGGGAGGAGAGCGGCCGCACAGCGAACCCCCCTCCCGCATGCGCGCACACCGCACCCCCCTGCCGGCTAACAGGCCAGCAGTCAAGCTTGTCAAAACCCCAACTCCGGGGACGTTCCTCATCTCACCAGAGTCTCAGCGCACCAAGGGGCCCCGCCGGAGCCAAGAGTGTCGCTGCTGACCTCCGGCAGACTCCGGGCGTCCCCCCACCGCCTGCCAAAGCCAGCGGCATGCAGGGGAGGCGGGAGGGAAGAGAGGGGAGCAACAGGAAAGACAAGAAAGCCTGCGGGCGGCTGCTAATTGCTCTAGAACAAATGCTGCCCTAGCAACTGCTTTAATCCTCCATGCCAGGCTTTTTATACGAAGCGGCTGTTTCATCAGCCCGTTTGCTCCCCACTCCCTCCGGCAGGCGGATCAAACACACTTACAGGAGAGCAGGAGGGAACCCAAACCTGCAGGCTCATTCACTGATTATGGCCCATGGAGCCATCCTGGGCCCAGCCTTCCCCTGGCAGGGAACCGTGTACCGCAGCCTCGACTGCTCCCCTGCTGACAGGTCAGAGAGGCCAGGCAATGCTGCAGCTGGATGGGGCTGCTGTGAACCCAGCGTCTGCCAGCTCCGCAGAATCTTTCCAACCAGCTGATCGAGAAGCATGGAACTCCCAGCCCTACCAGGCCACAACCATCCCCCTGGGCTGGCGCCAGCTTGTTCCCTGCATCACCGTTCTCAAGAGCGCCGCACGGTTTGGCGCCAAACGTCTCCACGCAGGAGAGACTGGGTAGGGGGCGGTCGAGACCAATGTCCAGCAGGAGCACACGCCCACACTGCACGACCCGTCAGAGCTGCGCACTGGGCCTCAGATGGATGGGAGAGCGTGCCACGTGCCGGCATGAGCCAAACTCCGTGGGACCCATGTCTGCCCTTCCTGCAAAGACCACCCAATGAGGCTCTCTGCCTATTTACAAACGTTAACCCCGAAAGGCCCTGGAACCTAGGGTTGCCAGATGGTTTCAACACACTTGACATTACATCACAATCGACATTACATCTTATATAGAAAATACCAGACATTGATATTTTCTCATTTCTATTTTCTCAATTTGTTTCCTGAACAGAAAGCTCAAATACTGGACTGTCCGGTTCAAAACCGGACACCTGGCAACCCTACTGGAACCGGACTCGCGGAGGCTAGTGGCAATGCGGGGGGGCTGGCGGATGGCCACAGCTGGGTGGTACACAGACCCGCGTCAGTGAGGGTCCACTGTTAGCAGCCTTAGTACTGAAAAAGAGAGGGGAGTGTGATATAATTATACCTAGCTCCTATGTGGCACTTTTTACCTGCAGCTTTATAAAGGCAGCCAGTGTCATTATCCATAGATGACAGGTGGGGGGAACAGGCACACCCAAAGCCTCCCAGCGGGCCAGTGGTGGAGCCGGGAACAAACCCCTGGTCTCCCGAAGCTCAGACCAGTGCACTATCCACTAGGCAACATTGCCACCTCCAAGTTCCCAAGCGTGTATCCAAGACACAGAGTCCATCTGAGCTAAGCAAGGTGCTTCTCTTCTGCAAATCTGGCCTGTTTTGGTGCAGACCCGGGCCTCAGTGTGCGCCTGAAAATCGGGCCCCTGACAGGGCGGCGAGTGGATGCTGCAGGAGAGCCCGCAGGAAGGAGGCCTCGCTTTGGACAACATCCCCATGGCAGCGGCGCCGGTCTCTGAGGCAAAGAAGCTTCCGGCACTTTGGCCTCAAGCACCCGTGCTCTGGAGCAACCGGACCCACTCGAAGCTCACATGCCGCCCCCTTTGCGGCTAGTCCCGCGTGCGCTTCATCCCACTGCGGGGCAGGCGCGCGACCTCTGCTTTCAACGCGTGGGCCCCCCGGCTCCTTTGCAACGTGTCAAGGCACCTTCCCATAGCCCACAGGAGCTGCTTTTCCCTTGCTTCAAACCCAGTACTCCTGGCTCTCGGGCCCTCTTGGGGCTGCCACGCAGAGCAAGATGCTCAGCAGAAGAACAGTACAAGTTTTTTTCTGGCAGAAAATTTGCTAATGAGGGACTCATTAGCATAAGTCACATTATTAGCATATTTTCTGCTGTTTCTTTTTGTGCAAGGGGTTTTTGCATAAAAAGAAGCAGCATGGATGGGGTTTTTGCACAAAAACCCGGTTTTGTGCACGATCCTTATGCTTATCCGGGGGTTTTGCACACACAAAAAAGTCCTCACTGCTTTTTTTGATGCAAAAACCCCTTGCGCAAAAAGAAACAGCAGAAAATATGCTAATGATGTCACAACTTATGCTAATGAGTCCCTCGTTAGCATATTTTCTGCCAGAAAAATCTTGTCGTGTAGACGTAGCCCTGGGGAACTGGGTTGGGGAGGGGACAAACACAGACCAGTCTCAGGGTGAGACCAGGGCATCTGTCCTATTCCCACCGGTTTGCCTGTCACTTGCCTGCCAAGGGCCCACACACAACAGCAGGGGAACAGGCTTTGCCTGTTCACACTGGTGCTTCACAGCGCTGGTGCTTGCTGTGCTAGGAGAGGCCTTTTCACACCCTGGAGCCAGAAAGTGGCAGCGCAGTGAAGTGCTGGTGCAGACTAGCCTGAGGGGGAACAGATGGAAGATGGGAATTTTCCAGCTGCACTCAGAACCGCCCGCCCACCCCGCTGTGTTCGCACGAGCTGCCCCGCCCTGCGCTCTCGTGGCTGGGAGAAGAGGGTGCACACGGCTGGTCCCTATCCACTGTACCCCTCAGTGAGAGCAGTGGGGCTGGTATTACAGAGCTCCACCCCCTCCTGCCAGCGAGTGGCCACGCTCGTCCTCTCAGCACCCTGTATCGCACCAGACCCGGGCCAGCATGCAGCTAGACAGGGAGGGGGAGGCAGCCGGGCATTGCGTAGCTGGCCTGAGGCAAGGGCGGCTGCACGTCGGGACACCATGCAGCTGGACAGTGTGAGATAGCACACAGCTGTCACCAGCCAGCTCCCCACAGGCCTTCGGCACGCTGTCCAGGATCCAGGCGCTCGGAGGGGGCTGTGTGGGGTGGTTTGTCTTCCCTCCTCGTTGCTCAACTTTAACTTTCTCCTCCCAAATCCCCTTTTCTATTTCCCGCCAGGTGAAGGGCCCAGGGATCTATCAGAGACACGTGAGGGCAACAGCTCTCCTACCCCCTCCCCCCTCCTCCCTCCCCCCAATCCCATCCTGCAGTCAGACAGGAATTGGAGCAAAGCTGAGCCAGACAACACCAGTGGCCGGACTGAAGGTGCCCAGGAGGCAACCATCTTTCTGAGCTTGACATCAGTGGCTGGACTCGAGCGGCAGCCATCTTGCTCCCGGCATCCAGCTGTTCCCACCTCACTAGCTAAGTCTCCCTAGAAGTTGGGCCCTTAGCCGGCCACAGAGGGCAGTGGCTGGTGCCGGAGGGCTCATGGGCTATGAGCTGAAACACCACGGTGCCACTGCTGTGCCCACAGTCCCCACAGCACAGTAGTGGGGTGGTGACAAAGGGAGAGACCCAGGGTGTGTCTACACTACATGGCTCCGTCGACGGAGTCTAGAGACATCCCCAGTGTTTCACTGGCCTTCACCGACGAATTCAGGTTTCCTAAGTCCCTCTCTGGTCACAAGAAGCAGAGACATGCCCCCTCCAAAGCACAAGGGCACCACCATTGGCAAAGGCCCACTCAAATACCCCGCCACGGCCTGGTTCCTCTGGGACGGCACGGGTAGGCAGGATCCCGCTTCATTCGGAGCCTGCCTGACCTAACACACTGAAGCGACAGCTCCTTTGCTAGGTACTTCCAGCACCACCCAGGGCTCCTCCCTCTGGCAGCGGGTCCCCGGTGAGGGAGTAGCCGGCAGGGCGATTAGCTTTATGGGCCCCCCTGGGGTGAGGGCCCCCGGAAAAGTTACATGCTATTTACAGAGTCACGGCGGGTGAACGTAATGTGAGTGTGACGCTCATTTCACCTCTACACGTGGAGATAAAGCACACTAAAGCAGAGGTTTCCAAACCGCAGGGTGTGTGGGGGGAGAACAAGAGATGAGGCAAGGGGGTGCAGGCCTCAGCCCCAGTCTGTGGGGCTCACACTGGTGCCTTAGTTTCTGCCCTGGACCCAGCGAGGCTAACGCCGGCCCAGCCTGGCCCTCTTACCTTCCTGCAGCCGTGGTCGTCCTCCTCTTCTCCCCGCTGGCTCACCCGGCCGGGCTTCTTACAGATGGAGGGCAGCGTCTGGTTACACGGGCTGTCGTTCCATCTCCCTTCCTGGATTGAACCGCCAAGAGCAGGTCAAGCAAAGGGTCGATCCCAGCAGACACAACTCTCAAAGGACCCGAGACGGGGTATGTTCAGTGGCAAGCATGGGTCTATGCTGCTCTGCACTACACCATCCTGATGGGTCCCCTCTTCTCTTTCCCGGCCCCCGTTAGGGGGCTGATCTTGCGGAGAACCTCTGGCTGGTCCTAATCCAGCTTAGAAGGCCAGGGACTGAAAGTGGCTGTCGGATGCCTGAATGATATGAGTTTGGGGCACGTGGTCCAGTTCTCAGAGGGCTGCCAACCCACACGTTACAACCACCCCCGGAAACGAGCAGCATCTGCAGGGGAAGGCAAGGACCTGGGTTGTCATGGAGACCACCCACAGGGGCAGGTTTTGGGGGCATTGGTGGCACAGCGCTGGGAAAGGTTCCCCAGCACGGTCTGTGCTGGGCCTGGATGATGGACACAGAGCGCGCCGGTCTCCGAGGCTCTCTGTGCCACGTTCACACCCATCAACCTGGCCGTGGCAGGAATCAGTAAACACTGAATTCACTGTGCACGCACTGAAAACCACTTCCATCGGTAGCACGTGACATTTACCCACAGGCAAAGTCAGAAACGCTCATGAGAACTTACTAGGGCTCAACTGAAGGATACACAGACATGTGGGAGTGACGAGTTGTGTGTTGATGGTTAGAGTTTAACTCTGAATTTCAATGTCTATTGTCATTACATAATTATTGCCTGCCCCCAGGTCATTTCCTGCAGCTCTAAAAATACTTTGAAATAAATATCGATCTCCGGTGAGATTAAAAATAGAAATCGAATTCTGCCAAGCCTGAATTACCTCCCGGCCTTGCAAACTGGGCAGGAAAGGTCCCACACCCCTTCCCACTCCACAATCAGTCCTCACCGGTCCCCAGATGGTCACACAGTCCTCCATGCTGTCTCGGAAGTTGTTGGGCTCAAAGGGGTGCCAGTACGTGAACCTCACCGGCGTCCCATCCGACCACTCAAAATTCATCTGCAGCTTGAGGTCGTTAAGGCCAATCCAGAGCTCCTCAACATCTGCCAGGCAGAGAGGGGAAGAGCAGCTCAGAGTCCAGCTCTGGCATCCGGGGTGAACCATGAACTTGACCGAGTGCTGTGGTGCTCAAGAGAAAAGTCTGCCCTCTCCGAGCAGTTGTGGGACGAGGCGAGCTTTTCGTAAGTTACAAGGTGTGTTGGCTGCGATCCGCCTGGGGCAGGGACTGGCTTCCTTGCTATCTATTTGCAGGGTGCCTAGCGCCTCCGCTGGAGTGCTCAGGGGTTACAGATAAATAATAATGATGGGAATTTTTGGAGACATCCATGGGATCAGTTTCCAGATCTCACACACTTTGGGCCCCTTTGCAAATCTGAGCCAGCATGAGAACTGGGAATAGAGCCTAGTATGAATGAGATCGCGATACCTTTACTCACTCCAGGTAGTATCTCCCTCTCCTTGTAGCCTCGCTGGGGGCATCCACACCATATGGCATTTTACAGAGAGGAAAGACTGCCCAGGAGTTAGGCACTCCACATGGGACTCAGCAAACACAGCTTCAAATCCCCACTGCGTGACCTGGGCAAGTTGTTTAGCCTCTGGGCCTCGGTTCTCCATCTGAACAATGGGGACAACAGCCCTTCCCTGCCCCACTAGGGGGTTGGGGGATGAACGCATCCTGAGGGGCTCAGCTGTAGTCCTGGGGGCTGCACACGTACATCTAGTAGATGTCCCCCCTGAATGCACAGCGGTAAATGTCATGAGGGAGGTGACCATTTTCCAACAAGCCACCTGTATAGACAAGAACGTGTCTGTGCCGCACGGAGCCATGCGGGGTAGGCACCATGCCGGTGAAGACAGGGGCTTCCCCAAAGGTCCGATTCCCCCCGCGCTGACCTGGGCCCCCAGCCTGCCCCACGTGCAAAGCATGCAGACCGGCTTTAACCCTTACCTTGCTTGATATGCTTGGTGACAAACTCCAGCTCGGAGAGCGTGTGGATGCTCACCAGGTCCCCGCCGCCGCGCAAGCAGGTCTTCTTGGCGTCTTGCCAGCTCTTCTTTTCGCCAACCAGCCGGTAGCAGCTGGACTGGAAGGGCTGCCAGCTAGGCTCACAATCCACCTTCACCTCCGACCAGGAGTCTGCAGGGACACGGAGCAGACTGCTGAGGTCACTGACTCCTGGCACGGCTCCTTCTGTACCCTGGCTCCTCCCCAGTGCAGGTGTCTGTGGCAGGAGAGGCAGAGCCCCCAGGCAGAAGAAATAAACCAGACCGGAGTTACTGAGCCCAGTGATTCTGCTGTTGAGTGACGGGGGCAGGGAACATCGCAGAGGTGACTTATTCTGAACTCCCCCAGCCGTGGCCAGATTCCATCTCCATGTGGCACGTTCTCTGCCATTCCCTCCTCCGCAGGCCCACTGCCAGCCTCCACGCGAGGAGTCGCCTGCTCCAGGAGTTCCCCTGGGGCTGCCCCGCTCCCCACGGGGCATCCACATACCAGCCTCTGGGTCAGCTGACTTCACAAGGCTTTCAAGGGTCTTCTTGCAGTTTGAGAAGAGCACTTAGAGTCTCCCTTTTTAGACCTCTTCTTCCTACCCCCACCATGGAGCGTGCACATCAGTCAGGCCAGCTCACAGCCTATGGGCCAGGAGCGCCTAAACACCGTGGCCACGTGGCAGCTGGACTTTACGTGGGGCCCTACCAGATTTCATGCTCTGTGATTTGTGTTTCATGGCCATGAATTCATGAATTTAGGCAACGAGAACTGTAAGCCGCAGTCTAATTCTCGGCAGATGAACGTCCACATGGCATGAACTGTCGCCATCACAATCAGCCTTGTAACGTAGGTTGCTCTGGGTGGGTACATCTACACTACATGCCTCTGTCGGCAGAGGCATGTAGATTTGTTTGTTCGGCAAAGGTAAATGAAGCCGTGATTTAAATGATCGCGGCTTCATTTACATTTACATGGCTGCCGCGCTGAGCCAACAAACAGCTGATCAGCTGTTTGTCGGCTC